CATTATTCTACTTCTGTTTCGGTGAATTTGGTTATTCTAGAGAGCTCATGTAAGTGGAATCCTGTAATATGTGTTTATCTTTCTGTGATTAGTTTAAACTCTTGAATCAACAATTTTTAAAAGTCAGTCTGTCACACTGATTCTCTGCCCTAGTTTCCACCCAAACAAGCACTCAGGTCCCACTCGGAAAGTGAGGGCACTCTGCAAAGGCAGGAAGTGAGGAAGAGGGCCCACAACCCTGGCAGTTGGCTCCTCCCCAAGCCCAGCCACGCTCCAGCCTTATTAAAGCACTCGTTCAGTCATAAGAACGCCGGAACCACAGATGAGCCAGAGCCAAAAAAAACAAAAAACCCCGAAACAAAACAAAACTTCACATTTTCACACCCGTAGGTAGGAAAACTGAAAGTGAAGAAATCCAGATGAAAAGACAGGAAGATGTGACCATTTAACACACACAAAAAAATTTTCCAACTTCAGTCTACTTAAAAAAAGAGCTAAGTGGAACTGGAAAGAAAAAAAAAATGTAGCAAATACTTTGGGCCCAAAGTGGTGCCAGAGCCCCCACAAACAGGCCAGGGAGAGAAGGCAATGTGGCAGGTGCATCAGGGAAGAGGAAATTCAGTTCATGGGAAGGGGGTGGGAGAAAGGAGAGCCTCGGTAGAAATCAAGGAAATGAAATCAAAACTCAGGAGATAGCATCCCCTGCCGCTCAAATCAGCAAGGTGGTTTGGTTGTTGCTTTTCAACAACACCCAGTGCTTCCTCTAGTCCTGGCCAGGGAGTGGAGTCCGTGTGAACGAGAGAATGGGAGCCTGGCCCAGGGAGGGAACTAACAAATGAAAGGATTTTTAATATGGAAAAAAAGCTTTATATCTAGAGCTGCTCATTACAAACTCATTTAGAATCCTGGGGAATTGGAGGGGGCACCTGGGTGGCTCAGTCGGTGAAGCATCTGCCTTCTGCTTGGGTCATGATCTCAGGGTCCTGGGATCGAGCCCCATGTTGGGCTCCCTGCTCAGTGGGGCACCTGCTTCTCCCTCTGCTCCTTCCCTTGCTCATGCTTGCTCTCTCTCAAATAAATAAATAAAATCTTTATTATTTATTTGTTTATTTTAAGATTTATTTATTTATTTGAGAGAGAGAGAGAGAGCACATGAGAGGAGGGAGGGTCAGAGGGCGAAGCAGACTCCCTGCTGAGCAGGGAGCCCGATGCGGGACTCGATCCCGGGACTCCAGGATCATGACCTGAGCCGAAGGCAGTCGCTTAACCAACTGAGCCACCCAGGCGCCCTAAATAAAATCTTAAAAAAAAAAAAAAAAACCCGGGGAATTTAAAAAAACCGAAATCCCCCCCCCCCCCTGCCCCGTCCTTTGTGGGAAAGGGGGAGGAGTTCAAGAATTATGACCCAGTTCCTGGGGGCAATTAAAGGGTGGTGACCACGAAGAGCATGAACACACGCTGAAGAACACAGCCAGTTCTGGGATCACAGGATAAAAATTGCAAAAACATTATGATCACAACTATTTTTTTTTTAAAGATTTTATTTATTTATTTGACAGAGAGAGAGCACAAGTAGGCAGAGTGGCAGGCAGAGGGAGAGGGAGAAGCAGGCTCTCCGCCGAGCAGGGAGCCAGAGGTGGGGCTCGATCTTAGGACCCCAGGATCATGACCTGAGCCGAAGGCAGCCGCTTAACCGACTGAGCCACCCAGGCGCCCCGATCACAACTATTTTCAATAGCAAGCATCCTTTCTGCTTTTAGAACCAAGTAAGATGCACAGTCGGTTCAACTAGAAAGGGCAGCAACCAACAAGTTGACCGTGAACTTTGGAAGCAAAGTATAACTCAAACCAGTAGGACGCAAGAGGGTATTTTTCCTTGTCTTTTCTGCTTTCCAGCTTCCTAACTGACTATATTCTATGTTTATAACAGTGAAACATGCCTTGTGGTTAATTAGCAGTCTATGAACCAGATTTTAAACTTGCCTCTAGCTATCACAAGGATACCTCCCCCACTTAAGACTGTCCCAGCCCATTTTTTCACTCTTAACTGTCAAGAAGTCAGGTTCGTTATGGGGGGGAAGTCTGGTCCCATGTTAATTTGTTCCTTGAATCCACACTGAACACAAAATTTAGCAAAAAGTCAAGTCCAACTATTTCCTGAGCACCTGCTGTGTGGTGTGTGCTACAGATGACTCTTTACAGGTGTCATCACACTCCATGCTCCAGGTGGCCCAGGAGGGGACTTCCATCATCCCATTTTACAGATGAAAAAGTGAGGCTCAGAGCCCTGCGGCATGCTCAAGGTCAAAGCACAGAGGGGGCGCTGCAGGGACGCCAGAGGACTGACATGGACATTTTACTCCACAGCCCATAAATTACCCGACACTTACCAAACTGATCAGAATCATGAGCTTAGGACCTAATAACCTGCAAAGTGACCCTAAAACTCACCCAGTGTCCCCACTCCAGGCAGCCCACAGGGCCCAAATTCTCCCCACCCCATACTTACAAGATCTCTGGGCAGGGGAGGTAATACGGGACATAGGAGAAGGGCAGCCAGTTCTCCACAGACATCCTGGGAAGGAAAAACACCTGTTGACTGTCATGAAGCTGAAAACCCACCTAATGCACGTTGATGGGAGTGAAGGCCCCCAGCGGGGTGCATCTGGGGATCCCCTACCACTCCTTGGGTCTGGCTGACCTCAGAGGTCCAATCCTCCCGGTCTTCTGCAATGTGGCCATTAGTCACCCATGCGGTCCTTCATTCCTGGGGCAGGAATGTTTTTGATGCCAGGCCCTGCGCATGGGGGAGTGGTGGTGAGGGGTGGTGGTGGTGGTGGGAGGGCTTCACAGAAAGAACAGATGGGGTGAATTGTGTTTGAACAGGAGTTCTCCATTACCATGGCTAGAAGAGCAGTCCAGGCAGAGGAAAGAGCAAGAGCAAAGGCCTGGAGGCCATTACTAATCAAAATCCAGAAACCAGAACTAGTTTGGTCTTACTGGGGTGGGGGGGTGGGGGTTGACGGACCGGCGTGCCAAGAGAGGTGGGTGGGACCTAGGGATCCATAAAGGGATCAAGGTTTGGGGGTTGAGAGGCCAAGAAAGGGAGAAGTCTGGGGTGAAGGGAGGGCTCCATGGGGCTATGCTCACCGCAGAAAAAAGAGGACAATGCCCAACAGCAGGCAGAATCCTAGGCCCAGGGCCAGTCTGCGGCAGCGCATTGCTGGGCGAAGCCTTTGAACCCGGGTACTTGGAGAGACTGAGCGGGCTTGGTGAGTCAGGCCACCTCTCCCAGGCCTGTCAAGCTCTGAGCCTGTGTCTCCGGGATCCGAGGAACACCTGCAAAGGAATGTTCCCGATGTCCAGGGGATACTGGCCCCATCCTTGCTGCCCTGCCTTCCCCTGGGTGGCCCCAGCTATGACAGCTCGGGTAGGTGGACAGGGGGACAGTGGCTCAGTGCTCAGCCGAATCCTGCAGCTGTGACTCGGGAGAGGCGGACCGTCCCCCCCGCTGCCTGGGCTGTCTTCCTCCCAACCCCCGCCCTCCGCGGGGAGCACAGGGCGTCCTGCCCAGGGACTCGGGAGCAGCGCAGGGCGGGGCGCTTGGGCGGGGCTTGGAGAAAGATTCCCAGGGGTAACAGTGGGGACACCGGAAATCGAGCCCAGGGCCGGCCCAGCGGGGACACGCCCGGCTTGGGTGGGGGCTGCGCAGAGAGGGGCCGCCTGATGCCCTTGCGGTGGGGTAGGGGCTGGGGGTAGGGATGGCAGCCGTGTCTTCCTCCTGGAGGCCGCGCCTGGGCTCTCCAGGGGACGGCGGGAGCGCGCTTCAGCCCTCCCTGGCTCGGTCACCTTGATCAAGGCACCCTCCTCCCCCTCCACCCCAGCCTCCGTGTCCGCCCCCGCCAAAGCAGTCTGCACCCGGTGGCCTGGTGCCCAGACGCGCACCCCACTTCCGCCCGCCACTGCCCCGCGACGCAGGACGTGGGTAGCGCGACTGTCCCCGCGGGCTGTAGACTCACCCCTTGCGACCGGACAGGGTTTAGGGCGGACGGAGGGGCACACCCCGGGCCGGAAACCAGGTACTCAGCTCTCCAGGGCCCCGGCGATACCCGGTGGCCACGCCTGCAGCCGCGCCGGGGGCTGACCCTGGGGCAGGGCCGGCGGCCGGGCAAATAGGAGCCGCACGCCCCGCCCACCCGCCAGCGCGCTCCCTCCCCCGCCCGCCCCCACCCGCGGGTCCCAGCCCCTGCCCACCTGCCGCTCACGCCCCGCCCGCGGGCCAAAGCACCAGGCCCCGGGGTCCTAGCGCGCGGGGTCCCGTGGGCGCCGCTCTCTCCTGGCCCTCTGGGCGGCAGCCTGTCACGCAGCGGGCCCAGCCCGGTAGCGGGACAAACCGGTCCGGGAACTCAGGGCAAGGGTGAGGGCCTGAGAAATCAGAAAAACTTTCATGTTTTTGGAAGAACGTGGAAACAGTCACAGGAAGGAAAAACCAGCTGAACATTGCACTCACCTTGCGGTTTAGCTCAGCGCCTCCGAAATCTTTCTGAGCCTACCCCCTCCCCCCAAAAGGAGTTACCATACTTTCCTCCTACTTGTTGGGGTAGCATTGAGCCTTGTTCACCCCAGCTACTCCCGGGGCCCAGGAGGACCCTCTTACATCTTACCAAGTCTGGGGACAGAGCCCTTGCCGGTGGGACGGGGTTGCCCAGCAGGCCTGAGCGCCAGGCCCCCACGGTGCTCACTGTCCCCCTGGGGGCTCACTGTGCTACGTCCTCCCTCAGTCTTCCTGGGCCCAAGTCCTCCTCTGCTCCGGGACCACCCTCGGCCCAGACTCCACACGCTGGGACTGGGAGCAGGTCCTCTGGACCTTCTGCACTTGCGCTTCTGCGCCCGTGACATGGGTACAGGCCGGCCTCACAGACTGCTCAGAGGAGACCCAGTGCATGAAGATGTAGGCCCCTGCAAGGGAGATGCCAAGTGACCCCAGAGGGAGCACACGGGACTTGCACAAAGCACCAGGCTTACAGGGCACAGCGCCAGATGGGGGCGCCCAGCCATGGGGCACGGGGAGTCCTCCCGAGGATGGTGTGGTTGGGGAGGCCCCTGAAGGGCCCCAGAAGAGGCAGGAGACAAGGAAGACGACAGGACAGAGCTGCCCAAGGAGGACGAAGTAAGGGTCAGAGGATCGCAGGGACCCTTGGGAAAGCTCGGAGGCCCTGGAGATGTTGGCTGAAATGCTGTCATTGGGTCAGAAAAGTGGCGTCACAACCCCCCAGCGACATTGTATGATTTACTCTTCCTTGCTTCTAGGAATCAGTGCGTATGGGCCATTAGAACTCACATTGTGTTAAGTCTAGCATATACTTACTTTTCATCACTTTTCAGGACTAGATTTTTCTAGAGGATGTACTGAGCGTGGGTGTCTCCATTCTTTTCTTTGTGCAACTGGCCTCTGTTTTCGGGAGCAGATTGCTGGTGCTCATCACCTCTGTTAGCCCTGAGGACTGCCCCCTGTCACCTCTCACAGTAGACCTGAGTGCCATGTGGGCAGGGACCACGTGGGCTGGGGGCGCTCACAGATGTCGTCCCAGTGCTCAGGACAGAGCAGGGACCCCAGATCCTCTGCTGAATGAGAGAGGAAGGGGGGAAGGAAAGAGGAATGGAGGAGGGAGGGAGGAATGGATGGAGTGAGGGAGGGAGGGAAACCAAGGAAGATGGGTCCATCCATCAGGAGCTCTTTTTTGGGGTGAGGTCCGAGGGCACCACAGCCCGGGCCCTGGATGGTGGCTCAGGGCCCGTCCAACTGTCCTCCCAGGGCTGACCTTCCTTCTCCTTGGCCCTCTGTCATCCTGGATCCTCTCCACCTCTTCCTGAAAGAACTCTGAATGTTGTCAGGAGCAGGGTGGCAGGAGGGGGTCTCAGGAGGGGCTACCTGGATCCTATGCCCCAGACGACAGTGTGACAGTAACTACAGGGTATTCTATCATGAGGACTGGGACCGAGATTCCCATCCATCGCCTTGGGCATTAGCATTGTTCCATTCCCTGCTCTCTCCACCACCGCTGTGCTGAACACTCCTGGAAACACGTCTGTGAAACCCGAGCCAGAGTTTCCGGGGGTGAGTCCGAGGACCAGCATGCTAGGTGATGGGTGCACCTTCAGCCTGGGATGGGTGCTGCTCACTGTTTTCCCAGGCAGGGGTGCCCGTCACCCTTCTCTCCAGGGGACCTCCACTTCCTCATGTGCTCTCCAGGGCTCCTGGTCCCCAAACCAGACACCTGCCAGTCTGAGGGTGACCAGCGCTGCCTCCATAGGGTTTCCTTTGTCAGAGACCTTCCCCATGAGTTTCTACATCTCTGACTCCCCCCGTGCCCGTCCCCCCATTGGACTTGCATGCGTGTGGTCTCTGTCCCTGTGGAACTCAGTGACTTGGAGCCTGGTTTGGACCAGAGGCATGGGAAACTTTTCTCTGGCCTTGGGTTGTGAGCAATGCTTTTGCCCATTGGGGTGTGTCTTCTAGCTTTCTTCATTTCCCTGGTTTCTCTGTGGGTCACAGGAGGAACCAGCCCTTTCCTGTCTGGAGTCAGGCTGAGGTGTCCCAGCAGGAACAGGGGTCTCTGCCCCGAGATTGCGCCCATATTTACCAAAGGGGGCTCTATGATTACATCTCATCTGTAATCCATCTGGGATTTCAACATCGAATAAGGGAAATTCTATGTCAAATCAACACAGAAAAAAACGAGTCCTCTTTGAAAAT